CCTGCCCCCCGCCACAGGAGCGGAACGCTCGGCAGGAGTTCAAGGAGAGGCACATCCCCGGGGCGTCCTTCTTCGACATCGAGGAGTGCCGGGACCAGTCCTCCCCGTACGACTTCATGCTGCCCAGCGAGGCCCACTTCGCTGACTACGTGGGGCGCCTGGGGGTCAGCAACGACACCCACGTGGTGGTGTACGACGGGGACGAGCTGGGCACCTTCTATGCCCCCCGCGCCTGGTGGATGTTCCGGGCCTTCGGGCACAAGGAGGTCTCCGTGCTGAATGGTGGCTTCAAGAACTGGGTGAAAGAGGGCCACCCCGTCACGGCAGAGGTCAGCCAGCCCACCCCGGCTGTCTTTAAGGCCAAGCTGAACACGGACCTGCTGAAGACCTTTGAGGAGATGATGCAGAACGTGGGGTCCCTGCGGTTCCAGGTGGTGGATTCCCGCCCCGAGGGCCGGTTCCGGGGAACCGAGCTGGACCAAGGTAACGGAGGTGGGAACAGCACCTGCCCCCTGCACCAGAGCGGGATGAGTGTTGTTACTAGTCCAGGCGTAACAACTCCTCCAAGCCAGCAAACAGATTTTCCTAATGCGTGGGCATGCCTCAGCCTAACTCGTTGATTTACCTTAAGAGATCCGCAGTTGAGCATTCGGATCCCGGTGCCCTCACAAAATGCTTTTCTTGTAGTTGGTTGTAAAGCTGCAGGAGGAAATAGCAGAAAAGGTCTGCAGTCAGTTGGCTCCAGGATCCCTCATCCCACACCCTGCAGAAGTTAATCAGAATGCAAACACAGGAGGAGGTGAGAGCTCCCAGGGGTTTGTTCAGGGTCCTATCTAACACTAGCAGACATGCACAAATTATCAGTATTCTTACAGGCACCTCTCACCATAGTGAATGTGCCAGCAAAAGCCCAGGTTTTAGGCAATAAAGTAACCCAAGGGACATTTTATTTCTTGTTCTGGTTCCCAGCAAATAGAGAACTTGCTTGAGCTGATCTTTGTCCTTCTTCTCTCTGCCATTAAACATAACGACCTTAAGTAAGAAAAGCCCCAAACCCTTCCCAAATGTATGGGCTGTCAGCCTTTCTCTTTTGGATGCCCCAAGTAACAGGAAAAAAAAAATTGGTTTTGTTACCTTGGTCAAACACTGGACACAGAAGCAGCAGGGGTGGGAGAGGTCCCGTGCAGTGCGGACAGCTGATACAGCAGTGTGCCTGGAATGAAATTCAAGTTGGTTGTTAAAGGAGGCCCATACTGTGTAATTTAAGCCTTGGTATATCCCAGAATAACCTCTCCTCCAAAAGGGAACCACAGAAATAATTTAAAAAGAAATGCAGAGTTTCAAAAGCAAAGCACAGAAAAGCTCAGCAACAGTTGTTGGGTCTGAGTCAAGCTCCATGCCGCAGGAGCAGGTGTGCGGCAGGCTTCTGTGGTCCTGAGGCAGTGCTGCGCTGCTGCCTTGCAGGTCAGTCGTCATTCTGTTCTGGCTGTTTTCTTACGCGTGTGCTGCTGAACAGCCATTGAGTGTGACACTGCGTCCTGAAATAAATTCCCATGTCTGAACCTCGGGGCTGTTTGGCTGTAAATAGCTTTGTACACGTGGTTCGCACAAGTGTCTACAGTGAGCCCCCCCCAAACACACTCAACTGTGCAAGACAATGCGGAAGGTGAGAAAGGTAATGGGAGTGACAGAGGAGACCGTTGCAGGGAGAGAGGGGGAGTTAGGCTTATCTCTTGTTCTGTTTCTTCATCTATTGTAGCCCATCAAAGCAAAGGTTGAATTTTAACCTCAGGACATGAATAAAACGCTCCTCACTGGGAGCTGGTGGATTTTGCATTCTCTTTCCCAAAGTGGGAGTGGTCACCAGGTGAGAATACTGCAGCCCCTGACAGCATCTTGAAAACAGATTTTTCCTTTTAAATGAGTCAGCATGGGACAGTTTATTTGTGGTGGTCCAGTTTTGCTTCTACAGCAGATCCAGCGGGATAAGCACTGCAGCTGCTCAGTCCACAGGAGCTTGACAGCCTTCTGAACCAGGCTAGCTAGTAGCTGCACTACAGCCAGCAGTGGGTAAAAGGCAGCACTTACACCTAAAAGAGCAATTTGAAATCAATGCTGATTAATTACAGGGGTCATCCAATCAGGGAGAAGAAACATTGGCTGCAATTTAGTGGAGAAGAATGGTCTTGAGGTTAAGGAACTTGCTGTGTTCTCAGGTGATTTCAGTTTAATTATTGCCTCAGCTCTTGACTTCCTAATTAAGTCAATTAATCTCTCCAGTTCCATGAACTCCATCTCTAGAAGAGGCTAATTTCAGCTGACTCTTTTGCCTCTTTAGTTTTTCAGTTCCTTGTGGTAAGAATTAGTTGTCCCTGTTTTATTTTCATGCAGGAGCTACCTTGCTGGGATTTAGACCTCTGTAGTGTTTAAGATAAGCCATGATACATGGCTAATTTTTAGTTGCTGGGAGAGGTTTAGCCAGGTTGCCAGGGTGGAGAAAAGTGGATGGCATTTCTATAAGCCAGGTCTCATAGGTCTTAAATGCAGATATTGCTTTGGATGAAAAAGCTTGGATGTTCATGCATGGTGTGCAGCATAAGCCCATCAGATGTGCAGCCCTGACCTATGCACTGTGTGATTAAAGGTGTCCCTGCACAGCGCAGTGTTGCTGGAGGAATTAGCAACTCGGGCCTGCTCATTAGCTGTGATTCAGCAATGGCCCAACCAGGTTCTGCAAGGGCCTGCTTACTCAGGTGCTGTAGGGTGCAGGTCTATGGAACCAGCCTGAACTGAGACAATCCCAGGCAATCCAGGGGCAGATAATAAAAATAATTACATGATGGTTACCAGTGCTGACTCTCTCTGAGTATTGGGCACTGAAAACTGAGGAACAAGAATTATAGCTGAACAAATGCATACAGAAAAGTTGCGAATTTCTGAATTCTTTCGCAGACACCTGAGAAAAGAGGGGAAAGTTGCCAGACAAGAAATCCGTCATCTAAAAAAGAAAGCAAACCCAAAGTCATTTCATGAGCTTCCGACTATTTTTCTTCTCATTCTTAGCCCTTGGGTAGTCCTTGCCTTCCTTGCACATACACAGTTCTTAAGGTTTTGCCCATTTCTCCAGCTCTCAGTCCTTCCTGCCCCAAACAAAAAGCTTTTGCTCAGCTTGAACATTCAGTGGGAGTGGGAATGAGATGTTGCTGCTTCTTACCTGTCTTCTCCAAGTGGTGTCTGCAGCTGGGAGTGGACTGGCTCTACTTTGACCATGCAGTAATACTCAAGGCACAACATGGAGAGTGAGAGACTTTATCGAAGTATGTTTCAACCCACAGGAACCTACGATCCAAAGCTGTCCATTCATGTGACGAGGTTGACAAACATCAGCTGCCAGAATTAGCGCCATGGCTCTGCTGGTTCTTAGAGTTGACTCTTCGGGCTGTATACGCATACAGTACTTTGACATTGGTGGCAAAGGCCTATTGATCTGACTGTGAGGACTCTCGGGGAGCTGGCTAGGACCAAGCTTAAAGTGTTCCTTCTAATGACTTCACGGTAGGTTAGGTGAGATCACTAATGGTCCCTTCCAAGGCATACAGTTTGAATGGAAGAGAGAGAGAAAAAAGGAGGCAGCAGAGGAGGCGTTTGGAAAGGAACAGCTATCTGCAGCCAGCCAACCCCAAGACCACAGGGAGTTAAATGTGGACAAGGCACATCTTTTTTCTTTTTGACGTTAAGAAATTCCATCTGGAGCTTTCATCGCAAAGGGAAAGGCTAGAGAGAAGGGGCTGTAGTCTTAGCTAGATAAATATCCAACAAAAAATATATATTTAAGCAGAGGATCTTAACAGATGTGGAAAGGGGGATTAAGCAGTGAAGAAGATAACATATTACAGGTTACAAATTGTGAGGGAGGATTGCCAGAAGCCAAGCTGAGTGAGACTTGGCAAAAGGAATTAAAACGAATAACAAAAACTGCTGGAGCAAAGTGAATAAAAAGAGAACAAGGACAGAAAGAGTAAATAGGGTTGCTATGCGGTTAGCAGGGGTTCCAGATGAAAGATTATTTGTGTACAGCCTCACAATTATACTGAGTCTGTGCTACCTTTTTTTTTTTCCTCCTGAAAATAAGTCTGCAGAGTGGTGGTGGGGGGGTATTAGGAAGAAGGGGAAAGAAGCAGCAATGATCATTTCTAAAGAGTGAGTATAGCGA